ACTAAAAATACAAAAAATTAGCTGGGCATGGTGGCGTGTGCCTGTAATCCCAGCTACTCAGGAGGCTGAGGCAGGAGAACTGCCTGAACCCAGGAGGCGGCGGAGGTTGCGGTGAGCCGAGATCGCACCATTGCACTCCAGCCTGGGTAACAAGAGCGAAACTCCGTCTCTCAAAAAACAAAACAAAACAAAAAAAAAAAAAGTTATATGAATCAAGTCTGGGCATGATGCCTCATGCCTGTAATCCCAGCACTTTGGGAGGCCAAGGCTGGTGGATCACTTGAGGTTAGGAGTTCAAGACCAACTTGGCCAACATGGTAAAACCCCATCTCTACATAAAGTACAAAAATTAGCTGGGTGTTGTGGTGGGTACCTGTAATCCCAATTACTCAGGAGGCTGAAGCTGGAGAAATCGCTTGAACCTGGGAGGCAGAGGTTGCAATGAGCTGAGGTCATGCCACTGTACTCCAGCCTGGGAGACAGAGCCAGATCCTGTCTCAAAAATAAAAAAGTCTGGCATGGTGGCTCATGCCTGTAATCCTAGCACTTTGGGAGGCCAAAACAAGCACATCACCTGAGGTTTGGAGTTCAAGGAAAGCCTGACCAACATGAAGAAATCCCGTCTCTACAAATACTAAATTAGCTGGGCATGTTGGCACATGCCTGTAATCCCAGCTACTCAGGGGGCTGAGGCAGGAGACTTGCTTGAACCCCAGAAGCAGAGGTTGCATGCAGTGAGCCGAGATCGCGCCATTGCACTCCAGCCTGGGCAACAAGAACAAAACATCATCTCAAAAAAAAAAAAGTTATATGCATCAAAAAACCTTAAAAGTTAGTTATACACATCACTGGTCAGTAGCAAAATCAGCTACAGCTTACTGGCAGGCAAAATAACTGGTTGCCCAATCTGCTCCATATCTCTGTTAACATGGCAGCCAGGCTAGTTACGTAAAGTGATTGCAGTCGTCCATTGCTTAACCATAGGGATAGGTTCTAGGAATTGCATTGCTAGGTGATTCCATTGTGCAAACATCATAAAATGCACTTAAACAAATCTAGATGACATAGCTTACTGTACAGCTAGGCTATATGGTATAGCCTATTGCTCCTAGACTACAAACCTGTACAGCAGATTACTATATTGAATATGGTAGGCAACTGTAACACAATGGTAAGTATCTGTGCATCTAAAAATGTCTAAATATAAAAAAGGTACAGAAAAAAAATATGGTAATCTTTGGGACCATCACTATACATGCAGTCTGCAGTTGACCAAAATGTTATGCAGCTTGTGACTATACTTTGTGTTAAGCATAATTATGCTTCTACTACCTATTCTTGTAAAATTCCAATGTAGTATTCTTGACAATGTGTTAACACGTTAAAGCTTTAACATTTTAGTGTGCAATAACTTTTACATCGTTTTTCTTTGAGAAGGAAACAACTCTGAGAAAATAAACCTTGGGGCAATAATTGTTCTAGAAATGGGCTTAGGAACCACACAATCTTTGCCATGGCAAACCCTGAGTATACAACCATTTACAAAATGTAGAACAAGCATGTATAATTTATATAACTCTGCAATTAGAAGCTTAAAAGATTACCTTTAACACTGACCTGATGGTCAACAAATAAGAAAGAGCCTTTAAGGAACAGTAAACAGAGGGAAATTTCAGAGATCAGGCCCTTTCTTTGAAAAGTGATCTAAGTTTCAATTTCAAAATCCTTAGCAAAGCACATAATTTGATTAGAATTGTTACCACACCTATGGCTATAGCTGGAAGCAGAAACAGATCCTAGACAACTAGGAACATATATAAGCTTGACAAATCAAATCCTGCATCTGAAATTAATTTGGGGGTCATAGGGGATAAAGTTCCCTCTGTCAGTGCATAAGCCTCATAACTTGAACAGGGAGAACCTCTAGGTGATGCTCAGCAGGTGGTTCTCCTGCAGCAGCTTGATACTGGATAAAATGGTTGTCAAGGATGGTGAATAACGCACACATTTAAAAAGAGAGGGTGTAAAAAGAGCAGCACAAGTAAAATGGGATTCTGGGTCCACTTCATTAATACTAGTTATTGGCAAATGCTTACAGTAGTCAACTAAAACATTACTAATATGATTAGAGCGTATTTGGAAGTCCAAGCCTTTAAACAGGTTTTTAAAAACATAAGTTCAGTAGATAAAAGGTAAAGCATTCACATTCCACTATAGTTACTTATGCTGATTTACAGCCATTGGCCCTTTACACAATAAACAGATCTTCTGTGGATTCTAAAATATCCTGGCTTTTAAAAATTCCACAAGAATAACCATTGTTAAGATAGGATTTTTATTTTCCAAAATCTCTATAATCTTCCACTAAGGTAAGTGTTCAAAACATTTACAAATACTTAAGACATTTGTATGTGTATGACTTAATCATATTTTATATACAGTCATCCCGCAATAACCACAGGGGATTGGTTTTAGGACTCCCATGGATACCAAAATCTACTTATGTTCAAGTCTTTTATATGAAATGGCACAGTATTTGCATATAATCTAAACACAGTGTCCAATATACTTTAAGTCATCTCTGGATTACTTATAGTACATAGTACCATGTAAATGCTATGTGAACAGTTGTTATACTCCATTTTAAATTTTGTGTTTTTATCGTTTTCCCAAATATTTTTGATCCATAGTTGGTTGAATCTGCAGATACAGAACCCACAGAAATGAGAACTGACTGTAATTTTTTAAATTTATCAAGTTGATATCTACATCAATCGTGGCAGTGCACATATATAACAGAGAGGTATCTTTCATACTGGTTTTTTTTTTTCTTTTAAGTTCAGCTATGATGCTATGCTTTGCCTTCAAGTCTCACTTTTCTGTAAAAGGTAGCAAAACCTTCACTTAGAGGGGTGGTCTTAACTTCCATAATAATGTTTCTCATCCTTATTGTTTTTTTTTTTTTTTAATATTTGTTTGTTTGTTTTAAGACAGAGTCTCCCTTCATTGCCCAGGCTGGAATACAGTGGCATGATCTCGGCTCACTGCAACCACCCCCTCCAGGGTTCAAGTGATACTCCTGCCTCAGTCTCCCCAGTAGCTGAGATTATAGGCGCACACCACCATGCCCGGCTAGTTTTTGTATTATTTTTTATTTTATTTTTTTTTTTTGAGACGGAGTTTCGCTCCTGTTACCCAGGCTGGAGGGCAATGGCGCGATCTCAGCTCACCGCAACCTCCGCCTCCCGGGTTCAAGCAATTCACCTGCCTCAGCCTCCTGAGTAGCTGGGATTACAGGCACGTGCCACCATGCCCAGCTAATTTTTTGTATCTTTAGTAGAGACGGGGTTTCACCATGTTGACCAGGTTGGTCTCGATCTCTCGACCTCATGATCCGCTCGCCTCAGCCTCCCAAAGTGCTGGGATTACAGGCTTGAGCCACCGCGCCCGGCTTTAGTTTTTGTATTTTTACTAGACACGAGGTTTCACCATGTTGGCCAGGCAGGTGTCAAACTCCTGACCTCAGGTAATCCACCTGCCTCGGCCTCCCAAAATGCTGGGATTACAGGCATGAGCCGCCCCTTGCTGCCTTTCGATAACTGTAACACAAAAGCTTTTGGGGAGGCAGGCCTTCCACTTAGAATTATTACCTTGGTACAGATTCCCAGCCAACATACTGTTTTCGCAGATTATATTACAACCATCAATAAACTTTTCTTACTCTCAAACATAAAACTATCATAGTGAATGTGCTTTTTCCAACTACATGTGCCACCCTTCACTCCCCCTCTTCAAATCTGAAGGATCACTTTACACAGCCCTTAACAACCAGTTCACTAACCAGTACCCCACTCTACTCCCTCCATCCACCAACACGCAGCGCCAGCATCAACTTTCAGAACATCAACATTTAATCACTAGCCTCTTCTTCAAACTCTTTTAAATAGCTTCCCGTGGCTCTTAGAATAAAATTCAACGTGTGGTTAAAAGAAAAACGTTGCTGTGATGTAGCCCTTCTCCCGTGTCATTCCACGCCATCTGTCTTCCACTAAGCTCCAGTCACCACCTATGGCCCACCCTCCTAGTCCTCAAAATAACCAAAACCTCTCCAAGCCTTACATCCTTCACACAAACTGTCTCTTCTACAGAGGGCAGAGAAAGACGGTGGTTTCGAATGTGACGTCCAAACTATACATCACAGGACACTGAATTCTGCGGGCTTTGATTAGCACAGGAGCCGCTTCCGACAGGGGCAACTCCATGCGGGCTCTGCCGGGAACTAAGACCGTATTCAGATCTAGCAAGCAACCCCGCAGACGCCAGCTGTATTTGATTGCTTATACTCCGTGCTAGGTCCTTTTAGCCTCCAAACGACCACCTACTGCAGAGACTAAGGTCCCAGTCACAACTGAGCCTTCAAAGAGGTTAAGTAACTGGACCAGAGCTCAACCGAAAGTGGACGGGTTTAAAGCCAGAGCTACTCCTGACCTCTACTCCACACACCGCCTTTCCTCCCGCCCGTACATACAACGAACGAACCCGCAGGTTGGTAGCTCCTGGGATGCCAGGTTGGAGCTCCACAGGACCCCAACCTGCTCTCACCCCGGGACAGGGAAGTAGGAACAGGGACACAGGTCCAGCACGATTCGCCTCTGCGAGAGGCAGCAGCGCCGGCGGCGGGGAGGACGGGCAGCCACTCACCTGGTGCTGGCGCTGCGGCCACCCCCACACAGCGGTCGGGGCCTCCCCGACGCCGGCCCGCACGCCCTGGGAAAGCCCCCGAATAAACCCCCGCGGGCCCGTCCGCGGGCACCAACCAAGTAACGCAGCGCTGGCACCATCGCCTGCGCCCGCTGCCCTCCCTCAGCCCTCAGAAGCCACGACTTGACCCTCCGCGGCCGGCGACCCGCGCACTCTAGGCCCGCCCCTCAGGCGGGGTCCAATGAAGCGCGCGCCTTCGTCCCACGTGGAGAGGCTGCGGTGGCCAATGGGCGCGCGCGGCGGAGGGCGAAGGGCAGGCCAGGGCGCCGCAGACGCGGGGACTCTGGCTCGCTCCCTCCCACCCTCCAATGCTGTGAGTAAAGGAGCTAGGCCCCGCGCGGGGCGGGACGAGGGTGGTGGTTGCGTTCTGCCCTCGCCCATCGCCAACGCTGGGCTGTCTGAAAACCTGGCCCTTCAGGTCGCGCGCCTTCGACTTTCCCCGCCGCGCGACGACGAGGGGGCCGCGGGAGAATGTGGCCGGGATTACGGTGAAAATTCTGATTAGGGCGGGCCCAGCGGCTTCTTTCTCCCGCTCGGCCTCGGCCCCGCCCTCGCCCCCCGCTTCCTCCTGCTCGGCTCCGCCCCCGCACGAGGTCTGTGGGAGGCGAAGGGGTTGGGCACCCACCGTTTCTGTTCTCGGCCCCAGCCGAGTCGAGCGTCCGCTAAGACGGCGCTCCATGTCCGGCCCTGGTCCTCGCCCCTCATGAAGGGTTTATGTCACACCGAAGACTGACAGCCCGCAGTGTTCTGGACTTCTTTTATGGGGCTCTGAACAGAACAGAAATAGAATGATACAAAAAAAAAAAATTTTTTTTTTTTCTGAGACGGTGTTTCGCTGTTGTTACCCAGGCTGGAGTGCAATGGCACAATCTCCGCTCACCGCAATCTCTGCCTCCTGGGTTCAAGCAATTCTCCTGCCTCAGCCACCCGAGTAGCTGGGACTACAGGCGTGCACCACTCATGCCCGGCTAATTTTTGTATTTTTAGTAGAGGCGGGGTTTCACCTTGCCGACCAAGATGGTCTCGATCTCTTGACCTCGTGATCCACCCGCCTCGGCCTCCCAGAGTGCTGGGATTATAGGCGTGAGCCACCGCGCCCGGCCCAGAATGATACAAATTTATTACCAGAAGGTCTTCACGTGCCTGTTAGAATCTTGGTTCCAGTCTCTGGCTCCAGGAAACCACTTCACCTCTTTGCCTCAAATGCTCCTCTGTGAACTAGGAATGATAGCAATGTCTTCCTAATCTTAGGGCTATTGAGCAGATTACAGGAGATAAGATTATCAGTTGTTTAGCTCAGTGAAGCATTTGCAACCTGATGGCGTTCACAATGGTCAAAGGATTTTGCCACCAGAACAGGGGTACATAATTTGCTCTATTGTTTTTTTTTTTTTTTTTGAGACGGAGTTTCGCTCTTGCTGCCCAGGCTGGAGTGCAATGGCGCGATCTCGGCTCACCGCAACCTCCGCCTCCTGGGTTCAGGCAATTCTCCTGCCTCAGCCTCCTGAGTAGCTGGGATTACAGGCATGCACCACCATGCCCAGCTAATTTTTTGTATTTTTAGTAGAGACGGGGTTTCACCATGTTGACCAGGATGGTCTCGATCTTTTGATCTCGTGATCCACCCGCCTCGGCCTCCCAAAGTGCTGGGATTACAGGCTTGAGCCACCGCGCCCGGCCGCTCTATTGTTAAAACAATGCTTGTTCAATCACAGATGAAAAAAAGAGAAAAAAGAGATGGTTATTCAACTTGGTGAGATAATTGTGGATTCCCATGCACTTTGGGAGGCCGAGGCAGGCGGATCACCTGAGGTCGGGAGTTTGAGACCAGCCTGACCAACACAGTGAAACCCCGTCTCTACTAAAAACACACACACAAAAAAAGCTGAGAGTGTTGGCGCCCATAATCCCAGCTACTCAGGAGGCTGGGGCAGGAGAATGGCTTGAACCCAGGAAGTGGAGGTTGTGGTGCCTGGGCAACAAGAGTGAGACTCAGTCTCAAAAAAAAAAAAAATAAAGGAATAGAGATTCTGCGTACCTTTTACCCAGTCTCCCCGGTGGTAGTATCTTGCAAAACTAGTACAATATCACAACCAGGTAATTGATACTGATACAATCCATGATCTCATTCAGATTCCCCGTTTTGTATTTCTGTTATTTTTCTGTGTGTATTTAGTTCTGTATGGTTATCAGGTGTGTAGATTCTTGTATCCACCACCACAGTCAAAGTACAGCACAGGTCCATCACCACAGGGGTCCCTCCAGTTGCCCTTTTGTAACCACAGCTTCCCTTTGCAGCCCCACCCAATCTTTTCTCCGTTTCTAAAATTTTGTTGTACCGAGAATGTTACATAAATGTAGTTATTGTAATTATACAGTATGTAACTTTTTGGGATTGACTCTTTGCGTTCAGCATAATCCCTTGAGATACATCCAAATTGTTACATGTATAAGTAGTCCCTTCCTTTTTATTACTGAGTGACATTCCATAATGTAGATGAACTACAGTATTGATATGGTTTGGCTGTCCCCACCCAAATCTCATCTTGAATCGTAACTTCCACAGTTCCCACATGTCGTGGGAACCAGGTGGGAAGTGACTGAATTATGGGAGCAGGTCCTTCCTGTGCTGTTCTCTGGATAGTGAATGAGTCTCACAAGATCTGATGGTTTTAAAAATGGGAGTTTCCCTGCACAAGTTCTTTCTTTGCTTGCTACCGTCCATGTAAGATGTGACTTGGTTCTCCTTGCTTTCTGCCATGATTGTGAGGCCTCCCCAGCCATGTGGAACTGTAAGTCTATTAAACCTCTTTTTCTCACTTTTGGGTATGTCCTTATCAGCCCCGTTAAAATGGACTCATACAAGTATATTCAACTGTTGACTCATTGAAGGACATTTGAATTGGTTCTAGTTTTTAACTATTATCAATACAGCAGCTATGAACATGAGTGTACAGTCTTTTGTGTTAACTTGTTTTTGTTTCTCTAGGATAAGTTCCCAAGAGTGCAATTGCTGAGTCATATGGTAAGTGCATGTTTAATTTTTTTTTTTTTTTTTTTTTTTTTGAGACAGGGTCATGCTCTGTTGCCCAAGCTAGAGTCCAGTGGTGCAGTCTTGGCTCACTGTGGCCTCTGCCTCCTGGTCTCAAGCGATTCTCCTACCTCAGCCTCCTGAGTATCTGGGACTATAGGCACACCATGCCCTGCTAACTTTCATATTTTTAGTAGAGATGGGGTGTCACCAGGTTGGCCAGGTTGGTCTCAAACTCCTGATCTCAAGTCATCCGCCCACCTTGGCCTCCCAAAGTGCTAGGATTACAGGCATGAGCCCAGCCTAATTTTGTAAGAAATTGCCAAACTTTTCCAAAGTGGCTGGACCACTTTAAGTTCTCACTAGCAATGTTTGAGTGCAGTTTCTCCTCATTGTTATCAGCATTTGATGTCAGTTTTTTTTTCTTTTAACCATTCTGATAGGTATGTAGTGGAGATGGCTGGTTTTTAGTTTTCACAAGATAGAGTTGATTTCTTACTAAGTTGCATGCAGAATGTGTGCAGGGGGCTATGATTCGACTTTTGTGGCCCAACTGGGCCCATAGTTGTGCTTTCTTTACTACTATTTGATTTTAAGCATGTGCTTCTTAGTTTAGCAAGGGTGAAAGAACTCAGCACATAATACTCTTTTTACAAAATCTCTGCTTACATTCCCCTCTAAGATTTGACTGTATAGTAGTTTGTTTTGATTAAGTAATTTCAAACTAAGAGCTTGTCCTGCATTCATACACCCTATGATATCTGTGGCTAGAGACATTCGTATTCCTGATGCCACCCACCTTGGTTGGAAATTCATGATCACCTTCTTTCATCTGGGTGAGAATCTGTGAGAAATTAATTCAAAGAGTGCCATGTAATGTTGGCCTAAAAATCAGTCTGGGGACCTTTGCTTCCAAATCCTAATTAATTGCTCTATTAGTTTGTTTCACTAGATCAAGCGTCCCCAAACTACAGCCCGCGGGCCACATGCGGCCCCCTGGGGCCATTTATCCGGTCCCCCGCTGCACTTCAGGAAGGGGCACCTCTTTCATTGGTGGTCAGTGAGAGGAGCACAGTATGTGGTGGCCCTCCAACAGTCTGAGGGACAGTGAACTGACCCCCTGTGTAAAAAGATTGGGGACGCCTGCACTAGATACTACACCTCAGGAGTAAGAACTGAAATCAACAATAGGTGACTTACAGTGGGATGGGATTCTAATTTGGGGAAAATGTCCCGCATTCTAATGGCATCCCACCCCTCTTCGCACGTACAGCCCTCAACGCCTAGTTCACTGTCTTTTTTTTTTTTTTTTTTTGAGACGGAGTCTTGCTCTGTCTCTAGGCTGGAGTACAGTGGCTCAATCTCGACTCACTGCAACCTCCACCTCCTAGGTTCAAGTGATTTCCCTGCCTCAGCCTCTGGAGTAGCTGGGACTACAAGCATATGCCACCATGCCCGGCTAATTTTTTTATTTTAGTAGTGACACGTTTTCACCATGCTGGCCAGGATGGTTTAAATCTCCTGACCTCGTGATCTGCCTGCCTCGGCCTCCCAAAGTGCTGGGATTACAAGTATGTACCGCCCACTAATTGTTAACCACCAAGTTAACCATCACTTTGAATAGCCCACTAAGTAATTGCATTTAATATGCAACATCAGAACTTCCATTTTAAAAAAAAAACAAAAAACTTTTTTTAATGCAAACAGAGAAACTCTCCATCAAATTTACAGAGAAAACACGTATATATCCGATTTTGACTAACACATTAGGTGACTGGATTTCTCTAAGTTGTAAAATTGCAACTTTTTAAGACACTGTTACATATGACTCTAAGCCATGTTTTGATGATAAGGTTTTTTTGATTTTGTTTTCATAATTTGACTTCCTGGATTATTTATGGCAGCAGTAAGTTTTTTTTGTATGGTCCCAGTAGCTTGTTTTTATTATGCCCTATTTCAAACAACTCAGAAGAATAAGTAACACCATAAACTCCTACGTATACATAAACCAGATTTAATCCAGTGATGACAATGTGCTGTGTTTTCAGTGTTTCTCTCTTTCTCTTTCTCCCTCTGAGGAATTCTCCCTTTCTCTCTCCCTCCCTCCCTCTTTTCTTTTCTCATAAATAAAACAGATACAACTGAAAGTCCTGTTTCCCCTCCCCACTGCTTTGTCCTCCCTTCCAATCGATAACCATTGTTCTGACTGTTGCTGTATATCCTTCCCATTTCCACTGGGGGATGCATTGGTTTTTCTGGATTGGTTTTTCTGGATTTCCCTTATTGGAAATAACGCTGCAGTTCATGTTCCTGTCTCTCCATGCACATATGCTTGAATTTCCTTAGGGTTTTTTCTTCCCCGTAGATTTTTGGGGGAAACAGTGGCATTTGATTACATAAGTTCTTTAGTGGTGATTTGTGAGATTTTGGTGCCCCTGTCACCCGAGCAGTGTACACTGAACCCAATTTGTAGTCTTTCACCTCTCACCCCCTTCCCAAACTTTCTCCTTGAGCCCCCAGTCTATTGTGCTTTTTTTTTTTTTTTTTTTTTTAGAGGGTTTTACCATGTTGGCCAGGCTGGTCTCAAACTCCTGACCTCAGGTGATCTGTTCGCCTCAGCCTCACAGAGTGCTGGGATTCCAGGCACGAGCCACCACACCTGGCCTATCTTCTAGAATTTTTATAGTTTCAGGTCTTAGATTTAAGTTCTTGATCCATCTTGAGTTGATTTTTGTATAAGGTGAGAGATGAGGATCCAGTTTCATTCTTGTACATGTGGCTTGCCAATTATCCCAACATCATTTGTTGAATAGGGTGTCCTTTCCTCACTTGGTGTTTTTGTTTGCTTTGTTGAAGATCAGTTGGCTATAAGTATTTGGGTTTCTTTCTGGGTTCTCTGTTATGTTCCATTGGTGTATGTGCCAATTTTTATACTAGTACCATGCTGTTTTGGTGACTATGGCCTTATAGTATAATTTGAAATCAGGTACTGTGATGCCTCCAGATTTCTTTTTGCTTAGTCTTGCTTTGGCTATGTGGGTTCTTTTTGGTTCCATATGAATTTTGGAATTCTAGTTCTGTGAAGAATGATGGTATTTTGATGGGAATTGCATTGATGGGAAGACTAATATTCAGAATCTACAATGAACTCAAAGCAATATGTTGATTGCTTTTGGCAGTATGGTCATTTTCACAATATTAATTCTACCCATCCACGAGCATGGGATGCGCTTCCACTTGTTTGTGTCGTCTGTGGTTTATTTCAGCAGTGTTTTGTAGTTTTCCTTTTAGAGGTCTTTCACCTCCTTCGTTAGGCATATTCCTAAGTATTTTATTTATTGATTTATTTTGCAGCTATTAAAGGGGTTGAGTTCTTGATTTGATTTTCAGCTTGGTTGCTGTTGGTGTATAGGAAAGGTATTAATTTGTGTACATTAATTTTGTATCCTGAAACTTTGCTGAATTCATTTATTGGTTCTAGAAGCTTTTTGGAGGAGTCTTTAGGGTTTTCTAGGTAAACAATCATATCATCAGCAAACAGTGACAGTTTGACTTCCTCTTTACCTCTTAAATTTCTTTCTCTCGTCTGATTGCTCTGGCTAGACTTCCAGTACTATGCTGAATGGAAGTAGCTAGAGTGGGGCCTGGTGCCGTGGCTCATGCCTGTAATCCCAGCAACTTTAAAAGTTGAGGTGGATGGATCACCTGAGGTCAGGAGATTAAGACCAGCTTGGATAACATGGTGAAACCCCATCTCCACTAAAAACACAAAAAATTAGCCTGACATGGTGGCAGGTGCCTGTAATCCCAGCTACTTGGAAGGCTGAGGCAGGAGAATCACCTGAACCTGGGAGGAAGAGGTTGCAGTGAGCCAAGGTCATGCCATTGCACTCCAGCCTGGTCAACCAGAGTGAAACACTATCTCAAAAAAAAAAAAAAAAAAAAAGTGGTGGGAGTGGCCATCCTTGTCTTGTTCCAGTTCTCAGAGGGACTGCTTTCAACTTTTCCCCGTTTACTATTATGTTGGCTGTGAGTTTGTCATAGATGGCTTTTATTACTTTGAGGTATGCTCCTTGTATGCCAGTTTTGCTGAGGGCTTTAATCACAAAGCGATGCTGGATTTTGTCAAATGCTTTTTCTGCATCTGTTAAGATGATCATGTAATTTTTGTTTTTAATTCTGTTTATGTGGTGTATAACATTTATTGACTTGTGTCTGTTAAGCCATTCCTTCATCCCTGATATAAAACCCACTTGATCATGGTGGATTATCTATGGCAGCAATAATTTTGTAGCGATTATTTTCTAATTTGCGTTTAACTGGATACTTTTAATTTATTAGAGCTAGATTCACTAACTTACCACTAGAGGTCTCCTCTTTCCCTATAGAAAACATTCCCAGATGCAACTGCTTGGACTCAAGTAGGAATAATTTGCAAAATCATTAGCAAAGTTGCAGTTGAGAACGTAAAAACTTACCAATTTTTTTTACCTCTATTGCCAAATATAAACTTAATTTTCATGTTTAAAATCTTTTAAAGCTAATATCTTGTGTTTTTAGAGATTGCAGCTGAAGTAAATTTGGCCTTTTAAGCTAAATTATAAGATGGCCCAAAATGAATCAAGCAAAAGTTTTCAAAGACCATTCTAATTCACATGCTTAATAACAGTTTAACTGGTTTTATCTTTCTCCATGGAAACATGTCAACCATTGAAGACTGTTAATATACAAATATTTATTAAACTTTTGCATTATGCTAAGAAAAATGGAAATGAATAAGGTATGAGTCTTGCTCTTTTACTTTGCATACTCTTTTTTTGTTGTAACTGGAATTTTTTTTTTTTTTTGCATATTCTGGTTCTGCTTTATACTAACTAAAAACTTTAATCACTGTTTAAGATCCATCTCAAAAGACACCTCCAGTATGAAGCCTTCCTCTCACTCCTTCTTTCAGGTTCTAATGGCATCTGTTCATCCAACTATGTTGGGTGTTATTTATCTCTTAATATGTCATCTGTCTTTATTAAACTATGCATTATATAAAGTCAGGAACCTTGTCCTTCTCTCTGTGTCTCTTTCTCCTTTGTTCTTGTTTCTTTTGACTTACCATTGTTGCTTTTGCACTAAGTATAGCAGACATTCAATAAACATTTATTGATCGAATGAATGAATGGTCATGGGATATGAATAAAGTCTTGAGGTTGGGTGGGATTTCCACAGATTGATGGTGATGGGGGAGGGAAGCTAAGAGAAAATAGCCCGAATAGAAGCTGGGAAAGCCCATATTTGTAAATAAGATTGACAACTAATACAGTTATTCAAGGTGGGCACAGGCAGAGAGAGCTTTAACAAAAAGCTGGAAAGGGTTGAGAACATGAAAGGGAGGTAGTGGAGCAGAGGTCTGCAGTAATGAAGATGGCTATGGTAGAAAAGAAATGAAAAGTTGGTTCTGTCCTCAGGTCACATCTCTCACTGTTTCATGGCCTCAACATCCTCTGTTACTTCCTCAGCTCTAAGATGTTTCCCACTCAGGCATCTTTCTAGCCCTCTTCTTTCTCTTGAATTCTAGAACCATGTAATGATTAAGGAAAGGACCCCAGACTGGTAGAAAACTGGGTTCAAGTTTCAACACTACCACCAATTAGCCATGAAACATTGAGCAAGCCCCTTTAAACATATGCATTTATTAATACCGCACCTTGTTCCAGAAAGGATTTAGGGTGTCTGCAAGTTACTTAATATCAGAGCTTCAGTTTCCTCACAGGGTCCAGGTGATCTAAATTCCTTACAGCTCTAACATTTTGTGACTCTGATTCCAGTGATTTCTTGGTCTTCTGCACTTAGAAATCCTGCTAACATTTAATATATAGATTATGAAAAAACTAAAATAAAAAATCTGAACCTATGACCCTGTCCTCCTGATGTTGATTTCTGTTCGTGGTGTCACCATCCTACTAGTAACCCAGGACCAAAACTTGGTGTCATCTTCAACTCCTCTAGCCCTTGCCCCTACATCTCACTTAACTCAGTCATATGGAACTAACTCTGTAATATCATTCCCATCCTTCCCCAGCTAGGCCCTTTCCTCTGGCCTCATGTGATTGAAACCCTTGCTGGCTGGCTGTCCCATTCTATTGACCCTTAATCTTGATGCTGCTGTCTGAGTCAATTTCTTGAAGCACAACCGTAGCAATGGCATTGCTTTGTTCTAAAACCTCGGTGACTCCCAGCTGCCTGCAGAATACAGTCCAGATTCCCTGGTGAGCATGCAAGACCCTTCATGACCTGACTGCAAGCTGCCTGCCTCTTCTCATGACTCACATGTGCTAGTGAAACTGAAAATAACATGCCTTAAATGTTCTTGCTTCAGCTAATAATCTGGCAAATTTTTCCTGGCACCTTTGTCTATTGAAATTTTTTCTGTCCTTGTTTTAACTCTTTTGAGGCATTTATCAAGTTCTATCACTTACTTTAACTCCTTGGTAACGTGTCTTAGCTGCCACTCCACCCTGCATTAAATTGTCAGATGCTCAAAGCAAACACCGTGTTTCATTTATCTTTGTCTCGCCGTCTCCCCTGCTGCACCCAGTCCCTTGTACACACCACCTAGCGCACTACTAGAGAAACTGGAAATTGAGGTAAATCAGATTGAAACCTACTTCAGAAATCACTTTCTCAAATTATGGTTATAGATTTTGACAGCTGGAAATTATCTAAGCAAATCATCTCATTTTACAAATAAGAATACCAGAGGTTAGAAAGGTCAAGTCACTTGCCCAGCCCTTTCCAGCTGCCCTGCAACATTTTTATTGTTTACACTGCTGTGGTAACACCACTTGCAGCCTTGTCATAGGTAGATCTATTTTCATGTCTCCTCTTCTCTTCTGGATGTAAGCATCTTAACCTGGACACCTTGCTTTTTCAGTGATTTTAGTAAGTCATTTTGATACTGGAAATACAGATGGGGAGTAGAGCTGGTTTCAGCAAATGTGTAACTACAGTGCCTGAATGGACACTAGGTGGCAGTACAACAGACAGACTCCAGTTGATGTTTCAACAGTGGAACTTAATGCTCAAGCCAGAAGGAACCTTAGGCACCATCCAGTCCAACCCCTCATTTTTTTTCAGCAAACAAATAAAAAAAAACCCGAGAAGCAGAAACAGGAGTGACTTGCTCAATAACTGTTGAGTGGCAAGGAAGTTATCAGCTTTATCAGTACAAGAACATTGACTCTGAAGTTGTGAAGTAAGTTGCTATATGTGTAGGACCCTGATGATGATCTAATATAAGTACTGTTTTGTGTGTCTAGATCAAATGATGCTGTTTGGAAAAGTTTCCCAGCAGTTGTGTGGATTAAAGAAACTCCCATGGTCATGTGACTCCAGATACTTCTGGGGCTGGCTGAATACAGTGTTTAATAAGTAAGTTACTCTTAAATGAAGTGATGTGGAGATTGTTATAGCTAGATAAGTTCCCGATAGCTAGTTTGGCTATTTCTCATTTTTGTTTGTTTCTTGCTCTTATCTCCCAGGCTGGAGTGCAGTGGCGTGATCTTGGCTTACTGCAACCTCCATCTCCCAGGTTCAAGTGATTCTCCTGCCTCAGCCTCCTGACTAGCTGGGGTTACAGGCATCCACCACCACACCTGGCTAATTTTTGTATTTTAGTAGAGACAGGGTTTCACCATGTTGACCAGGCTGGTCTCCAACTCCTAACCTCAGGTGATCCACCTGCCTCAGCCTCCCAGAGTGCTGGGATTACAGACATGAGCCACCGCGCCCAGCCTATTTCTTGTATTTCAAATGTTCTTTTAACAATTTACAGTGTGATCCTAATTTTGTTCACAGACAAATGAAACCCACACAAACATCGGAAAAATAGCACAAAAATAGATTACAAAAATATTAACTGTGGCTGTTTGAGTTGCAGGATTTCAAGGATTTTTTTACTTGTCCTTTTGATATATTTCAGGTTTTCTAAAATAAACATTTATAATCAGAAAAATGTATTAAATATAATTTTTAAATATTTTTATGGCTTTCTAAAGGAATGTAGTTAACCTTTTGAATTCTATCAAAGTAACTCAAGTTTTCAAAAAATTAGTGGGTGGCACACTTAAAAATATTATTTTGAAACTGATGAAATGAACCGCCTTCTGATTGCTTAGTACAGCATTATGATCACTAGCTACAGAAAAAAAGCATATATAGAAATTAATAAATATCACTAAGATTAATTTGAACACAAATTCAGAATTATTTTCTCTTTAATCTTTTGTTATTAATAGAAATTCTAGCCGGGCACTGTAGCTCTTGCCTGTAATCCCAGCACGTTGGGAAGCTGAGGCAGGTGGATCATCTGAGGTCAGGAGTTTGAGACCAGCCTGGCCAACATGGTGAAACCCTGTCTCTACTAAAAATACAAAAATTATCTGGCAGTGGTGGTGCCTGTAATCCCAGCTACTTGGGAGACTGAGCCTAGAGAATTGCTTGAACCCAGGAGGTGAGCCACTGCACTCCAGCCTGGGTAACAGAGCTAGTCGACTCTGTCTCAAAAAAAAAAAAAAAAAAAAAGAAAGAAAGAAAAGAAATTCTAACCAAGTATAGTCACTCCTAGAACAGTTACTAAATATCTCTGGTGTCGAGCACTCTACTGTATATGAATCAATGAAAACTTGTGTCTGACTGATAAAGTCATATAAAAGTAATATGCCTTGACAGTGTTCACTTGGAAACAAAAACAAAACCAAAAGTTAGCAGATAGACTACAGTTTTTTAGTTTTGGGTTTTTTTTTTTTTTCATGGATCTCATTAATACATTCATCTTCCTCTTCAGTCACTTGAAAATTTGTTACGTTCTGTATTTATGTCAGCGAATATAGTTAACAAGCTAGTAATTATTGTAAAAGCGAACTGCTTTTTTTTCTCTTGCAAACAGGGTGGATTACGAGCGCATCAGGGATGTTGGCCCTGACAGGGCAGCATCCGAGTGGTTGCTGCGCTGTGGGGCCATGGTACGCTACCATGGTCAGGAGAAGTGGCAGAAGGACTACAACCACCTCCCAACAGGCCCTCTGGACAAATACAAGATTCAGGCAATTGATGCCACCGACTCTTGTATCATGAGCATTGGATTTGATCACATGGGTAACTACCCTATCATTTTGCTAATAGGAAATGCAGGTGATTCGCAATGACTATTTTGTTCCGGTTGACTCACGATTATAGTTATAGGTATGTCCTTTTTGCCCATTTCAGTACAGTCAAGTTTGTTTCTTCCTATGTTTGATATTTATTTTCAAATTAAATTGAGGTGACAGATACCTTCCTCTCCTTCCTCCTTTCGCTAAGCTTGTTTCTATATGTCTCTATTCTTTGGTTTATTGACTTAAAATCCAGGGCCTTGTTTGTCAAACTATCTCTGTCAAACTTCTATCACTGAGAAGCCCTCAATAGTGCAGGAATAATTATATCCACACAGCTTCTGCTTATGTGGGCTTTTTTTTTTGAGACAGAGTCTCACTCTCACCCAGGCTAGACTGCAGTGGCACAATCTTGGCTCACTGCAACCTCTGCCTCCAAGGTGATGCTCCTGCCTCAGTCTCCCAAATAGCTGGGACTATAGGCGTGCACCACCATGCCTGGCTAATTTTTGTATTTTTAGTAGAGACAGGGTTTCACCATGTTGGCCAGGCTGGTCTGAATTCCTGACCTCAGGCGATCCACGTGCCTCAGCTTCCCAAAGTGCTAGGATTACAGGTGTGAGCTACCATGCCTGCCCCTATGTGGGCATTTCTTTCCTCCAGGGCATGTGACTGCAGAATGGCCCTGTCATCAGCACAAGCTCTATAGTGAATTCCTTATATGGTTAGTACGGTGAGCACTCATTCCAGTTTTCAGGGTATTTAAGAGGTTTCCCAGGACATAGGACTCTCAGTCCTAAAACTAAGTTAGTCTTGAGCAAACCAGGACAGTTTGTCATCTAAATGGTAAAGCAGATTCTTAATCTGTGCTTTTTCTCCCCAGAGGGCCTAGAGCATGTTGAAAAAATAAGGCTGTGCAAGTGTCAGTATATCGAGGACGGCTGTTTGCTGAAACTTAGTCAACTTGAAAATTTACGAAAAAGCATATTGGAAATGGAAATAATATCCTGTGGGAATATCACAGACAAAGGCATTGTTGCTTTGCGTCATTTCAGGTAGATGATCAAAGCCAAAGTGGAAACCTGATAATGCTGTTAATAGAATTTAACTGACTGTGAGGGGTAGTATCTTTTTTTAGTTCTGAAAAAGATGATTTTTAAAAATGACCTCACTTTCATCTGTAATACTTTAAAACAGTTAAAATTACCAACCTTAATCCATTAATGTTTTATTGCATTTTTTATAGAGTATGTTTTTAAAAATTAAATTTATGTTAAGCACCTAGCATGATGCCTCACAGTAAGCCCTCAGTAAGCATCAACGAATATGCTTTCTCTACTTTTTTTTAAAGCAATTTCCCCTATGTTTTGATATTTTCAGGATATTTGGTATATACCTATTAGCATTTTACCCTGTAATTATGTTGTTTGAGGGAAACAAACCTTGAAATATTCACATTTCTGTCTCTAGAGCTTAGAACACTGCCTGACACTATAATGCTCATCAAAAGCATGCATCCACTAGTTAGGAAAGCTGTTCTACATCCTTTTGTGCCACCAACCAGACCCATGCCATGTCCTGGAGCAAGTCACCTAATCCCAAATGCAAAAACAGATAATACTAGCAAAGAATGTTTAATTCTAAAATTGTAAGATTCTGAGTCCTATCAGCATGATAAAAAAACAACAGAAGTTTGTTTAATCAAATCCCTATTTTAGAGATCCCCACATTCAAATTCTGAATCTAATTAATGTAGTTATGCTTTAATATATAATGGACCTGCCAGAAACCTCAGTATCACAGGAAGTTTGAAAAATTTTAAACATGAGTACCAAAAGTACTAGATTATTCATCTCTTACATTAGTTGAGGCTTCAAAGCTTCATCTTTTGGTAGAAACTTAAGTACCTTTAAGAACTTTCCCAGTTTTTGCCCTTTTGGGGTTTCACATTTCATATTTCACATGCAAAGGATATCTATGTCATTATAAATATATATTTTATTTAGAATGATTTGGCTAGAAATATTGACATAAACCAAAGTCTGTGTTACTTATTGGCATGAATTTTATCTCTAAGGCTACTTCTCTGAAAGTCATTTTTAAGGCATAGGGTGACATAGATTCATTTTCTGTCTAATTTTCTTTAAGTCAGTAAATTGAGTTTGTTTGTAATGCTCTTGGCCAAATTGAAGTGACTTTTTTTCTTTACTTGCAGAAACCTCAAATATTTGTTGTTAAGTGATCTTCCTGGAGTAAGAGAAAAAGAAAATCTTGTCCAAACCTTTAAGACAGCACTGCCTTCTCTGGAACTAAAATTACAATTGAAGTAAAAGAATGTATCTTATTTCAGTATAAAGGATCATTTGAAACTGTTGATTCTAAATGTCAACTAATATTATATAATCATCAGTAGAATTATAAGGATGCCATATCATGACATTTTAGAAGTGAAGAGTGCCTCATATGTAGAAAATATTCAGATGTGACTCACTAATGTTACTAAGTTGGAAGTGCGAATTTATGTACATTAATATACTTTAAGAAAAATGCAGCTGTGTATGGTGGCTCACACCTATAATCCTAGCACTTTGGGAGGCCAAGGCGGGCAGATCACCTAAGGTCAGGAGTTCAAGACCAACCATGGTCAACATGGGGAAACCCCATCTCTATTAAAAATACAAAATTCGCTGGGTGTGGTGGTACATGCCTGTAATCCCAGCTACTCTGGAGGCTGAGGCAGGAGAATCACTTGAACCCAGGAGGTGGAGGTTGCAGTGACCCAAGATTGTGCCACTGCACTACATCCTGGGCAACAGAGCGAGACCCCATCTCAAAGAAAAGAAAAAGAAAAAAAATGCAAACTAGGTAACATTTTATTTTATTTTATTTTATTTTTGAGACAGAGTTTCGCTCTTGTTACCCAGGCTGGAGTGCAATGGCGCGGTCTCGGCTCACCGCAACCTCCGCCTCCTGGGTTCAGGCAATTCTCCTGCCTCAGCCTCCTGAGTAGCTGGGATTACAGGCACGTGCCACCATGCCCAGCTAATTTTTTTTTTGTATTTTTAGTAGAGACGGGGTTTCACCATGTTGACCAGGATGGTCTCGATCTCTCGACCTCGTGATCCACCCGCCTCGGCCTCCCAAAGTGCTGGGATTACAGGCTTGAGCCACCGCGCCCGGCAGGTTAATTTTTTTTTTTTTTTTTGAGACGGAGTTTCGCTCTTATTACCCAGGCTGGAGTGCAATGGCATGATCTTGGCTCACTGCAACCTCCGCCTCCTGGGTTCAGGCAATTCTCCTGCCTCAGCCTCCTGAGTAGCTGGGATTACAGGCACGCGCCACCATGCCCAGCTAATACATTTTAATTCTAATATATTCTTCACTTAATATGTAAATCTAGAGATATCTTTTGATGTAGATATTTAGAATCCTTTAAAGTTATTTGAACAACAGATATTTTTATTGTAACAATAATTAACATTAAATTTAAATTAGTGAAGCATACTACCATAAATGCACAATTATGGGAAATTAGAAGCTAAATTACAAATTCATTGATGGAATCGGTTATGCAAAGCGTTCAGTGGTTGTTGAGGCATGCATTACATATTGCTTCCCAGGATTCGCATGCATTTCCCATGATCCTGCATTCTTGTGTTCCTCATACCATACATCCTTTCTCAAAATCAATGGTTGCTGCTTTATTTGTCTATTTTGTAAACTTAAGCTAATATTTTATTAAAACTGGACATAGCTACTTGGCTGAATTCACAGTTTTGCAGATTGCAATATAATAAAGGAAACAATCATAAAAACCAGTAGACTATGCTTACGTTTTTCTTAAAACCTAAAATTGCTTTAGGCTGGGTGCCGTGGGTCATGCCTGTAATCCCAGTACTTTGGGAGGCTGAGGTGGAAGATCACTTGAGGCAAGGAATTTGAGACCAATTTGGGTAACCCGGTGAGACCCTATCTTTACAAAAAAATTTTTTTAATTAGCCAGGCATGGTGGTGCACACCTGTAGTCCCAGATACTTGGGAGGTTGAGGTGGTAGGATTACTTGAGCTCAGGAGTTTGAGGCTGTGGTAAACTATGATCATGGCCACTGCACGCCACCCTGGCAGCCTGGGTGAAAGAGGGAGACCCTGTCTGTCTCTTAAAAAATTGAGCCTGGGAAGTGAAGGCTGCAGTAAGCCATGTTGGCACCACTGCACTTCAGCCTGGGCAACAGATTAAGACCTTGTCTCAAAAAAAAAAGTCAAAAATAGATAAAACAGGTCTTTATTGTTACCTGTGTGAAATGGCCCTGATTCTATTACTGTTCTATGCCAGCTTGTTTATAGATTTCTGTGTGTATGGTTTGAACTTTTTTTTTTTTTTTTGAGACGGAGTCTCGCTCTGTTACTCAGGCTGGAATGCAGGGGCATGATCTTGGCTCACTGCAGCCTCTGCCTCCCAGATTCAAGCATTTCTCTGCCTCAGCCTCCCAAGTAGCTGGGATTACAGGAGCCCACCACTATGCCTGGCTAATTTTTGTATTTTTAGTAGAGATGGGGTTTCACCATCTTGGCCAAACTGGCCTTAAACTCCTGACCTCATGATCCACCCGCCTAGGCCTCCTAAAGTGCTGGAATTACAGGTGTGAGCCACCACACCCGGCCTGGTTTAAACATTATTAAGCTGTTGAATATAAACTTGAAAATAATTTTCAAATAAATACTTTCTATGATGCAGCTTTCAGGTAGAAAAGATAATTTTTGTGTGTTTAAAAACCATCTTATACAAATAGCACATAAATAGTAAACTGTTTACTAATTGCCACTGTCACTTTAAAAATCAGAAAAGTAGGCCGGGCACGGTGGCTCAAGCCTGTAATCCCAGCACTTTGGGAGGCCGAGGCGAGTGGATCACGAGGTCGAGAGATCGAGACCATCCTGGTCAACATGGTGAAACCCCGTCTCTACTAAAAATACAAAAAACCAGCTGGGCATGGTGGCGCGTGCCTGTAATCCCAGCTACTCAGGAGGCTGAGGCAGGAGAATTGCCTGAGCCCAGGAGGCGCAGGTTGCGGTGAGCGGAGATCGCGCCATTGCACTCCAGCCTGGGTAACAAGAGCGAAACTCCGCCCCCCCCCAAAAAATAAAAATAAAAATAAAAATAAAAATCAGAAAAGTAAATAAAAGGATGTGGAAGAGTCTCATGTGGTACAGTAGAGATTTCATGCATTTGAATAAAAGGATTATAAATATGGTTAAATTGAACATGAGCATAAATTTAATGGAAGTCGTTAGAGAAAAATAAGCCTTTTTTCTCAGGTTTTTCATTACTGTGTGGTGAGACAACTGAGTCACCACAATTAGTCCAGAGCTACTTTTCTATTCTGAATGGTTTTCAGTAAAACTATTGGCTCAGTTAGGCAGTTATAGTCCTCTGCCTCTATCAAGTGCATTTTCTTGGGTTAAGGGAAAAAAAGAAAAACTTTAACTATTCACAGAAGTTGCATATTCTTCCTTGTCATCTGAATCAAGGCTAACGGGAATTGAATAGTTCTGGGACTAGCATTTAACCCACTAACAGGTCTAGGCAAGAAACTACATTAGGAAGCCTTAGGATATCATTAAAGTGCCTGAAGTAGTCAAAATTATCGAACAGACACCAGACTTCAGTGGATTACTTAACAGTAAGTGAATGGGGTCAGACATCATCATGAAGAAAATTAACAAGAAAATGAGAATACAGAAGAAATGCTTTGAAAATACAGTGAAATACAGCTTTGAAGACCATGGCTGAGAAGTGCTAGGAATGGTGGTGGCAGCACATCAACCAGAAATGGTGTTGAGCTGTAAGAAACAGACATCAGGCTTCATATTGCCCTTGTGTCCAGGGGACAAGGATGAAAAAGCTTTTTGATTAAGAGCAGTAGGCCAAATCAAAGCTAATTATGTCTTTTTGGCCGGATGCAGTGGCTCATGCCTGTAATGCCAGCAATTTGGAAGGCCGAGGCAGGCAGATCGCGTGAGCCCAAGAGTTCAAGACCAGTCTGGGTGACATGGCAAAACCCCATCTCTACCAAAAAATGCAAAAAATTTAGCCAGGTATAGTGGCACACACCTGTAGTCCCAGCTGCTTGGGAGGCTGAGGTGGAAGGATATATATATATATATATATATATATATATATATATATGTATATATATATATATATACACAAACACACACACACATATACACATATGTATGTATGTGTCATTTTAAGTCTCACTGTACAAAGCGGTGAATCCTCAATTTTGGACTACTTATTGTAATATATTAGTTGTTAGGATAACATATATATATATATATATACACATACATACATACACATACATAGCATGAAAAGATGTTTCAGGGAAAACATCATGTCTTTCATGACTCATGTCATGAACAAGCCCACAAGCAATTTCTTCTGAAACCCAGATCACTATATTACAGGATTGCCTATAGATGTACAAGGTCTAAGGGCTGTGCCAGATAGAATGAAGTACTAATTATTTTCAGGATAACAGGTTCAGTTCCTGCAAAGCCTATAGGTCTTGCTCTACCCTTTGACTGCCTTAATCACCTGCCAAGCTTCATCCCACTGTTTACAAGGGGAATTGGGTGAATAAATGTAGACAGATGATAGTAAATCTACCTTGCCTGCAAAAGGGACTAAGGTACATCCTTATAAAGTAAGAATGAAATGTATAAAGTTATAATTAAATATAGAAATTACCAAGTCTTTGTGATAACTCATATGATTTTAAATATTTCGAACCTAAGTGTTACCCACAAAATGTTTTAAAATATAAAAATCAAGAAATAGAGCAAGCAGGAAATAGTATTTTAAACATTTTGATTTCAAGAAATAGAACTAGCCTTAAATATGCTGAAATAATCTGAGAGGCAAGAGAAAGGAGTCAAGGCAACAGAGATCAGAAGAAATATATATCGGTATTTCGTAGTCCATTTTTCTTGTGTGGCATTTGGTACAACTGAAACATAAATCTTTTTGACATCATCTAGTTTTGCCAGAGGTTTGCGACAGTTCCTATGCTGTCCATAAGCTCGGCTGCTTACATAAACTGAAATACAAGTGAAACTCCAAACAGGTTTTTTCTTTCTTTTCTGGACACCATTGTCAACCATGGAAGACTGGATCTGGAATTTCCCTTTGTATTGTGCCAAGTGGCCTCCCAGTTTCTTGCTTATGTTTTCTCCTGGTATGTTTTCAACATTGTAATTGTTTTCAATCAACTGTATAAGTTTTATTTTCTTCAAAGCATCTATTGATTCCTTTTTTAAAATCATGTCTCCTAGCACCTTTAAATGTTTGGAAAATGGTAGTTAAGTTTCTTGGTATTACAGTAGTACTTCTTATTATCCAAAGCTGGAAGGATGCTGCTGCCAGTTAGCTGGGGTAGGTACTGCAACTGAAAATGCAAAACACAGAATTAGGTTCAAAACTGTGCCATGCATTTTTTTTTTTCATTATTTAGAATATATCACAAAAGAGGTAATTAAGCTTTTTAGTACCGAAATACTCTTTCTGCACAGATTCCAGGACTTGAGAGAGGATTAAATGTTTCAATTTGGTCTTTGCTTCTCCTTTTTGAAGATTTATTTTATATTAAAAAGGAAAATCATGCACATTAAAGAAGATTTAGAGAATATGAAAAAGGGAAAATCTACATGTTAACGTTATTGGGAAAAGAATATAGATTTACAGGAGTTGAGAGCTTGCTGAGATCTTAGGGATCATTTAAGTCATTGCCTTGTCTTACAGCAGAAAACTGGTAACCAGCACCTAGGAAATTTGCCTACTTACTCTCTTCCCTTAGTTAAGAAGGCAAATCAAGCATGGCACAGTGCACACTTGTTCCAGCTACTAGGGAGGCTGAGGTGGGAGGATCACTTAAGCCCAGGAGACCAGCCTGGGCAACATAGCAAGACCCCCATCTCTAAAGACAAAAGACAAACCTGTTTCCTTCAAGCTTCCCGAAAATGTTTGAATTTACTATCAATGTCAAATGAAAGTAAGAACACACCTGTATTTTTTGTATTGCACTGTATGTCCTTAGGTATCCCTAAAAAGGGAACTTTTTAGTACTTTTCCTTTGCAGAAAAAAAAATTTTCAGCTGTTCCCCTCAGAAAGGTACTTTTTAGTACTTTTAAATCAATTGATTCCTTCAGGATTTAAAAGCAATATACCAGGCTGGGTGCGGTGGCTCACTTCTATAATCCCAGCACTTTGGGAGGCGAGGTGGGTGGATCACCTGAGGTCAGGAGTTTGAGACCAGCCTGACCAACATGGCAAAACCCCATCTCTACTAAAAATATAGAAATTAGTTGCGCATGCTGGCATGTGCCTGTAATCCCAACTACTGGGGAGGCTGAGGCAGGAGAATTACTTGAAACTGGGAGGCAGAGGTTGCAGTGAGCCAAGATTGCACCACTGCACTCCAAAAAAAAAAAAAAAAAAAAAAAGGCAATACACCAAATAGTGGAGTTTCCCTATTTTTTCAATAAGAAATATTTCCATCAAAACCGTTTGCTCTTGAATACAAAGTAACACTGAGATAAGGAATAATTCTGGGGTGGGAGTGGAGGAGTCTATTTCTGGCCTGTTTTGCTACCTGGATCATATATGATGAGAATAAAATTAAAACATTCTTAATTTTGTAACAGTGATCTACATTAGGGCCCTGGAGTTAATGCTGTACTTGTTCCTCATGGACTCTTCTCCCTTTTCCTTCCTCCCAGCCTCACACACACCACCCTGGTACCATTCAGCATGCCAGGCAGTGGAAGCTGCAAGGGGAAAGACTAAGGCAAGATACATTATAGCGTAAGGAGAACCTAGACGGATCCAGAGGTTACCCAGGAGCAGTTGTGGTTCCAACTACGGTTCATTGTAAATTATTACAGCTTTGGGCTTATCACAAGATGCTTAACGTAAGGCCATTTTATACCAGTAAGTCTTCTTCACAGGCTCCCATTGTGCAGTTTGGATGCTGTTCTCTGGTTAAATGTATTCTGCTGATCTCACCAAAAGCATTCATCACTGTTATTTGCCCTAGCAAACTCTGACAAAGGATCAAGGAGTAAAACAGCTCCTTTTTTGGACAAACCTGGAGTGTTAGTTAATAGTGAAGGTGAACATGATGACACAGAACTGCCTGGGGAAAATCTGATTTCATTTTCCAAAGTACAAGACGTGTGCTCAGCTGGACTCATACTCATGGACCTTGTTGAGACCTGTGCTCATGCAGGCCGGAAACCCTGGCCCCTGTGTGGCAGCAGGAAACAGCAGGACAAGGGCACCTTTAGGATTCAGGGAGAGGGGGCTTCAGGAGATAGATGTCCCTGGGACCCTGGCTGATAGACCCTGTGACCTGTGTCCTAGTGCTAGAATGAGCATGCTGGAGCTGAAGGCCACAACTGCCATTCTCAAGTCAAGATTCCAACTCTGTGTACCAGGTGGCAGGTAGGAGATCATTTGAAACTATCACCTTGGATGTTTCTGTAAAGCAGTGGTGCTTTCGGCTCTTTCTTAGGGTCTTCCTTGTTGGTTTGTCATGTTCTTTTGCCAAATCCTCTATTTCTCTGATGTTTTCAAAATATGGGTGGTGCAACAGCTGTTCACATGTCAGTCTCTCACCAGGGTCCATGTGGAGACAGCCCTGAAAGAACAGAAAATTCCTTCTTCTTCTTAAAAATTGTATTAACTTACTAATGTCGTGTTTTTTTTTTTTTCTTCTTCTTAGAAAGATGAAACTTTTTAGTTGGATAAGAAGGGGGAAAAGGCAGGAAAACACACCAGCCATGTCTTTAGTTCCATCCAGTCATTCCTGAATGGTCACTCATATATTAAATAAACAGTTCTAGAAGTAGTAACGAAAAATCATTTTCTCCACCTTATTCTGTTCTTGAGGCAATTGGTACTCTATCCTGGGAGAGTAAGATATAATTTTAGAGTTTACCTCAGTGGCCAAATGGGGTAATCCATTTAGCCAGTTTGGTCCCTTGCATGTACTTTGTAAAAACTAGTGTTTTTATTTTTTAAATGATATTTACACATGATAACAAATACAATTCATACAGCATACAGCAAAGTCTCCACCACTCTAGGTGTTCCATTCACCCTTCTAAAATCAGCTACTCTTTTTTTTTTTTTTTTTTTTTTTTTTTTTGGTGTATCCCTCCAGAAATAGTTTATGCATTGTAAGTATATATGAGCATGTATATAAGGAGAAGCATAATGTACATGCCTTTACGTCATTCTTAACTATTTTCATTGCCACTAAGTAGGCCATGGAGTGCATTCTTAGATAGATTAAATTTCACAACTACATACTCCAAGGAACTGACTGAATTTTTCTTGGTTATGTCAGAGGCGTTTAACCCAGAGCAACTCCATCTTGAATAGGGTCTGGGTAAAATAAGGCTGAGACCCACTGGGCTGCACTCCCAGGAGTTTAGGCATTTTTACACACAGGATGAGATAGCAGGTCAGCACAAGATACAGATCACAATGACCCTGATGATAAAACGGGATGCCGTAAAGAAGCCAGCCAAAACCAAGGTGGTGATGAAAGTGACCTCTGATTGTCCTCACTGCTCATACACTAATTATAATGTGTTCGCATGCTAAAAGACACTTTCACTAGCACTGTGACAGTTTACAAATGCCATTGCATACCCAGAAGTTACCTATGTAGTCTAAAAAGGGGAGGAAGCCTCAGTTCCAGAAAATCTCTGCCCCTCTCCTGGAAAATTCATGAATAATCCACCCCTGTTTAGCATATAATCAAGAAATAACCATAAGTATAGTCAGTGGAGCAGCCCATAGCACTGCTCTGCCTATAGAGTAGACATTCATTCCTTTACTTTGTTAATAAACTTGATTTTATTTTACCCTGTGGACATGCCCTGAATTATTTCTTGCACGAGGTCCAAGAACCCTCTCTTGGGGTCTGGATTGGGATACCTTTCCAGTAACAGCTATATTATCACTTATATTAAATCATTTAATACATCAGTAAATCTGTTAATTTTTGAACCATGTGGGACATTGACTGTAACTTGTACACATTTTAGTTGATACCACACCTCATTTTACATAAGAGCTGTATTTCTAAAAATGTATACATAAATCAAGTTTTTAAATGTATTTCAAATTACCAGGGAGTTAGCTATGTAAAAGGATCCTGCCGGGCGCGGTGGCTCAAGCCTGTAATCCCAGCACTTTGGGAGGCCGAGGCGGGTGGATCACGAGGTCGAGAGATCGAGACCATCCTGTTCAACATGGTGAAACCCCGTCTCTACTAAAAATACAAAAAATTAGCTGGGCATGATGGTGCGTGCCTGTAATCCCAGCTACTCAGGAGGCTGAGGCAGGAGAATTGCCTGAACCCAGGAGGCGGAGGTTGCGGTGAGCCGAGATGGCGCCATTGCACTCCAGCCTGGGTAACAAGAGCGAAACTCCGTCTCCGAAAAAAAAAAAAAAAAAAAAAAAAAAAAAAAGGATCCTACAGCTAAGCATTTCTGAAAAAAAGGATCCCTTTGTAAAACAATCACCACCACCCCCGAAATTTCTATTTTGTATAAATTTAGACTTCAAATATAATGTTAGGTTTATTTAAAGTGAAAAATACTTACAGATATTTTCACTTAATAGAATGTGATCCGTTTTAAAAATTGAAAATATACTTTTCCAAGGATTTTTTTTTTTTTTTTTTTTTAGACAGAGTCTTGCTCTGTCGCCCAGGCTGGAGTGCAGTGGCAAAATCTTGGCTCACTGCAACCTCTGCCTCACAGGTTCAAGCAATTCTCCTGCCTCAGCCTCCTGAGTAGCCGGGATGACAGGTGAGCACCACGACGCCCGACTAATTTTTTGTATTTTTAGTAGAGTCAGGGTTTTACCACGTTGGCCAAGCTGGTTTTGAACTTCTGACCTCAAGTAATCTGCCTGCCTCAGCCTCCCAAAGCGCTAGGATTACAGGAGTGAGCCACCGTGTGCAGCCAGAAGAAGAATTCTAAAAGGAACACTTGGTTGCATGGATTGACATAAGTAATTCAGATTCCCCCAAGGATGACAACGGATGTGTGCTTCCTGGTCTGTTGGAAGCCAGGATTTTACCTTTAAGAGCCCCAGGGCAGGATAAGAGATGTTTGGGAATTTTAATTCAAGTGGTTCCTGTTGAAAAGAAAAGGGGTTTTTAATTTACAGCATGTATTCAAATTAAGGTTACCTCAAATTAAATCTTTTAATACAAACATTTTCCTGGCATCTTCCTCACCTCCTCCACCCTCTGCCCACCCCATCTCCTGCCTACAACGATCTCCCTTTGCCTGTTTCACAAACACTTTCTCTCCCCACCTCCAAATTGCTATTCCAAATTTACTTTCTAATCACTCCCTTCACTTCCCACACTGATACCAATGCAGATCACAAATTATAAATAAAAATACTAATGAAAAAAAACTTTGAACAGTTTTTTTTTTGCCTCAATTTATATAACTTGCCTTTCCTGAGAATAATTTTTCGCATTTATTTTGGCATTATAAAAAGGTGGCCAGCTGGGTACAGTGGCTCACTCCTGTAATCTTGGCACTCAGGGCAGCCGAGACAGTCTCACGGCTTGAGCCCAGGAATTTGAGACCAGCCTGGGCAATATGACAAAACCCTGTCTCTATTTAAAAAATACCAAAAAACTAGCCAGGGGTGGTGGTGTGCTCCTGTAGTCCCAGCTAGTTGGGAGGCTGAGGTGGGAGGATGGCATAGGTTTGGGAGATTGAGGCTACAGTAAGCCATAAATGTGCTACTGCACTCCAGCATCAAGACCCTGCCTCAAAAAAAAAAAAAAAAAAAAAAAAAAAAAAAAGGCAGCCCTAATTACATAAAGGGAGCTGCAAAATAGATAATATTCCCTTCCCAGGTGAACAGATGCTTCTTGATTTTCTGGAATAAATACTATTGTCTCCTCCCACTACAGTCTGCTGCTTCCTTTATCAGCCTACTGTTTAAAGAGTCTCCTGATGGGCATTCGTCAATCTCCTTTTGGCCATTTAAGGCTATTTTGCTCTAGTCACATGCTGAAGACAATCAGGATTAACACTATATATGGGAGGAATGGCCAATGTCAGGCAGACAAACCAGTTAAAGAGACATACAACTGACAAAGGCTAATTGAGCAGAGAGGCTGAAAAAATAAGAGCCAGCCAAGCCGAGCAAAATAAATGACTGCAGTGCAGTGTGTGTATAAAGGTGGCAGTGTGTGAGCTGCTGGCTGGAGTGACTGGCCAGGCTCATGTCACCAAACACAGACCTGGTGCTGCAGCCGACTTTCATAGTACAGTAGTATTTTGGACAGGGAACCAGCTCCCAATAACCAGTTCTGGATTGTGCACATAGTAATCATTGATAACAGTTGGAGAGAAGAGCCTCTGTTTTGGAGTTGCCTACGTTCAACAGGAGAAAAAAAAAAATCCTAAAGCAGATTTGTATTAGCCCTTGACAGTAGCCCCCACTGCACCCCCATTCTCTCACCCATGCTCCATAGCTTAAATATTTCTCTCGTTCTTTCGGTTGGTTGAATCTGAGCGTCACTGGGGATTGACGTGCCATTGCTGTATCACTGAGCTCTGCTGTCTCAGCAACAATGCCTGGATGATGATCACTGGTTGGCTGTGATACGCTAAGGCCCATCCTGCCTGCTGAGCAGTTTCCCAGACCTAGAAGCAAGCAGGCCTCCCCCGTCAGGGTTACTGACAGGCAGAGAGACTGGGGTGCAAATGTTCAACCAGTGCAGCCCCCGCACTCCTTCTTCCTGTGTTTCTGTCAACAGGAAATCTGCAGGACAACCTCTGAGAAACCATGGGAAGCTTTTTACATTTACGAAACCTGGGTTATTTCTGAGGCTTCACCAACAGACAAGCGAACAGGAAATCGAGATATTTAGTACAGAGCTGGAAATGTCCAGGTCACAAGGAAGCCAGATGGGTCACCTCCCATATGCCAGGTGTCATTCCTGCCCCTCTGTCCCAGCAAGACCCACTTCTGATGCTAGTGCTGCAAAAGGAGGAGGCAATGGAGAAGCAGAAGCCTTCACTGTGGGACAAGCCAAGAAGTCAGGGAAGAAATAAAACACAAGTGGTAGAGACAGAACTTCCATCTGGAAACTGAAAGGTTTAGTGAGCAGCTGGAGGGTTAGTTTCATTTTGAAAATACCTTCCTCAGACAGTAGAAACTCAGGATTTTACAAACTTGTTCTGAAATGTTTCTGATTAAAATACAGCCTCATTAGAAGACATTCAAAAATATTTAAAAAATCATAAAGAAAAAGTTACCCCCAAAATCCCACCAAAAAGAGATAACCACTGTTAATATTTTGATATATATCCTTGCAGCCATTTATTTCACAGATGTAAAAATCTTTTTGATTTCCTACATGTTGCCATATTATTTTGTATTTATATATGTAAATATATGTATATATGCATTATGTACATATTACATATTGTTAAAACTTTGTTGAATTACATACTGGTTTGTTTTGTTTTTGTCTTTGTTTTGATATTGAATCTGGCTCTGTTGCCAAGGCTGGAGTGCAGTGACATGATCTCGGCTCACTACAACCTCCACCTCCCAAGGTCAAGCGATCCTCCCACCTCAGCATCCTGAATAGCTGGGACTACAGGTGTGTGCCACCATGCCTGGCTAATTTTTGTGTTTTTAGTAGAGTCAGGGTTTTACCATGTTGCCCAGGCTGGTCTGGAACTCCTGGGCTCAAGCAATCCACCTGTCTCGGCCTCCCAAAATTCTGGGATTACAGGAATGAGCCACATGCCCAGCCTACACTGTTTTCATTTTTTTTTTTTTTTCATTTAAAAATATGCCATGACCTTTATTTTCCAGGTGGATACATATAAATCTAATTATTTTTACTACATGATATTTCTTATTTTATTTTACAGGGTCTTGCTCTGCCATCCAGGTTGGAGTGCAGTGGCATGATCATAGTTTACTGTAACCGCAAACTCCTGGACTCAAGTGAGTTTCCTGCCTCAGCCTCCCAAGTAGCTGGAACAATAGTCATGTGCCACCAACCCCAGTTAGTTTTAAAAAATATTTTGTAGAGACAGAGTCTTGCTATGTTGCCCAGGCTGGTCTTGATCTCCTGTATTCAAGCAGTCTTTCTACCTCAGCTGTCTCCTGAGTTGCTAGAATTATAGGTGTGAGCCACCGCACCTGGCTCTAATATATGGTATTTCTTTCTGTTTTTTGAGACATGGTCTTACACCTGTCGCCTGGGCTAGAGTGCAGTGATCTCAGGTCACTGCAGCCTCAACTTCCTGAGCTCAGGTGATCCTCTCACCTCAGACTCCCTAGTAGCTGGGACTACAGGTCCATGCCACCATGCCAAGCCAACTTTTTGCATTTTTAGTAGAGACAGAGTTTTGCCATGTTGCCCACGCTGGTCTCCAGCCCTTGATCCACTTGCTTTAGCCTTCCAAAGTGCTGGGATTATACATATGAGCCACCACACCGGGCGTGATGAGGTATTTCTATTGTAAGGATGTACTATACTTAATCTCCTACTGATGGAAATAATTTCTATTAAATAATGCTACCTCTTTATGCTCTTAGATAATGGTTTCATTGTAATAAATTGTTGGAAGTGGATTAAAGGTATCAACATTTCAAATTTTTCCGTTTTTAAAAAATGGGTTTCCTCCATTTGGGTTGGCCATAGAGGGCAGGCACCAGAGTAAGGCTGGTCAAGTAAGTTCTTTTTTTTTTTTTTGAGAGGAGTGTCACTTTGTCACCCAGGCTAGAGTGCAGTGGTGCAATCTCAGCTCACTGCAACCTCCACCTCCTGGGCTCAAGCAATTCTCCTGCCTCAGCCTCCTGAGTAGCTGGGATTACAGGCATGTGCCATCATGCCCGGTTAATTTTTGCATTTTTAGTAGAGACAGGGTTTCGCCATGTTGGCCAGGCTGTTCTCAAACTCCTGACCTCAGATAATCTGCCCATCTCAGCCTCCCAAAGTGCTGGGATTACAGATGTGAGCCACCACACCCAGCCCAAGTAAATTTATTATGATTTTTCCCGTGGTCTGGAGAGAGTGGGCATAGTAAGCAGGTAATTTGGACAGTGCTGAGGAAGAAGTAGTTAACTTTAGCCGGATAGGTCTACGCCTAAAGGCTCGTTGGCTCTGAGCTACCTAGGTTCAACTGCTAAAACAGGATAAAGAACAGGTGCGGCTCCAGCAGGCCGCTCTGCATTCCGGTGCAACAGGCTTGCTAGACTCTGTTTTCAACAGCCTGTAAATTAGCGTTAAGGCTAAGGTCTTGCTAGCCAATTTACTCCAATTTTCTTTTTTTCTCTTAGACTGACCTCCAATGCAGGGTAAGCCATGGGGCTCAGGGAGGTGAGTAACAACCAAAGCCTAGCTAGCCTGGCCTACAGAGTCCTCTCCAAAATGGGTCACTCACCGTATCTTCAGGGTCTGGAATTTTCACTCCACTGAAGTACTGATTCGTGCTAAACACTTGCTGGTGCCTAGGAATGAGATCCCCTTTGGACAAGAAAAAAGAAAGTGAAATTGGTTAGCACACACTGATCTGTGGTTTTCTTCCATCAATGCTGTGTTTGTCTATGCCCGCATCTATGGACATTGCAGTGTTCTCGGGCAATCAGAAGGAGAGGCATTCGGGCAACCCTCAGCAGGCTGTGTTGATCCCTACAGTGGGCAGCACACTGTGTTAGGCACAGAGGAGGCAAGCGATGGAAACTGAGGGCTTCAAGCTTCTTGTTCTCAGAGGCTACAGCAGGCGTTCCCAAACTACGGCCTGCGGGCCACATGCGGCCCCCTGAGGCCATTTATCCGGCCCCCTGCCGCACTTCAGGAAGGGGCACCTCTTTCATTGGTGGTCAGTGAGAGGAGCACAGTATGTGGCGGCCCTCCAACGGTCTGAGGGACAGTGAACTGGCCCCGTGTAAAAAGTTTGGGGATGCCTGGCCTGCAGTGTACTGAAAGAACCCAAACCAAACAACTCAGAAGCACACACACACACAAACAGCAAAAGGGCAACAACCACAAATCAAAATCATATAAACTGCATCCTGATAGGTCAAGATATAATTGTGTTGCCTAGCTCTTATAACAGTGTCTTACTAACATACAGCAAGTACTCAATAAATATTTGAAGAAGGAAGAGAGGGGAGGGGAGGGAAGAGGAGGGGAGGGGAGGGGAGGGGATCATGGATTTTCTAGCTAGAAGGAATACATTTCCACATGGGGACCCACTTTTCTTATTTCACTAATTAGTATTCATTTGGAAATCCTGTTTCATGTATGTTTAGAAGCACTTACAATGTGAAGCAATGAAACAAAAAGAATATTTCTATATTCCAGGGAAATCTAGGAAGATCCTCCTGCCCACATTTCCATCAAATCAGCTAAAATCACCTATATGTAAAATTCCATATTACACTTGAAGAGGGATTTTGTTCAGAGAATATAAGGAGATACTCAAATGTATTCTCCTGGGTCACAACCAGGCCCATTTCCCAGAGCACTGTGGGAGTTCCTACTTCAGGATATCAAATTATCTAATTTTACTGATGCGTCCTAAAAATTTACCTCTCACTCAAATGCAAAAACTGCTGCCTCACCTCATTTTGGTGAAGGCAAAATATACCCACTAATGCCTTGCCCAGATATCAGTGAGCTGCTTCATGAGCACAATTCCTTCTTCCTCTAGTGCCAGAGGGGTGACATGGGAAGCTGTCTTAAAATCGCTACAGGAAACACAGCCAAGAAAGGCTGAGTGCCCCTGGAAGGCCTACAAAGCGCCTTCCATGTCACCGAACAAAGTCAAGCTATCAGCAAATATTTACTGCCTACAATGTGCAGAAACTGGTAGAGGGTAAGTAGAAACATTAGGACATGATCTCACCATCAGGAAGTTTACAGTGTCTTTGGGAAGATAAGATTACAAGGCAAAGCATGGTGATGGCAGTTGCTACAAGAGTTCACAGGAGGAAAAGTTTACTTTAAACCGAGATACTTGGGAGTAGTGTCTAAACTCCCTGACTTTGGAAGAGGAAAATCACCACTGATGGGTTGTTTTTCTCACCTTCTCTCCTTTCTCCTCCCCTGCCCTTCCCCTCTGCCTCTGGCGGCACCGAGGGTAGAGAGAAAGGAAAGGGTACTGTGGTGGGAAAGCAAGATGGGCAGAGAGACATCAAAACCAGGCTTCCTCCTGACACTTAGAAGGTTGGGAATCACCCTCCATTGAGTCTGAATAATCCAAACTAGTCAGGCAGGCTGGGGTTAAGGACATTCAGCTGAATTACCCCATCATCATAAATGAGGTAACCCATGAAAGCATTCTGTAAACTGCTAAGCCCTTACAGAAATCTGAGGTTTTATTATTAATGTTTTAACTTGATCCAAACTGCTCAAGAATCCTAGGTCTTTTTGGACAATGAGTACTCAATAATTAAAACAAATATGGCCACCTTTAAAGGAGTCATTTAAATGAGGCTTCGAGTTTTCCTCTTTCCTAACTAATGCCCTAAAGGGCATTACGTGAGGCTGGGAACTTGGCTCTGCCCTGCCCTAACGCAGGGAAATACCCAGTTTTCCAAAACGTAGGACAAAAACACCACTTACCCAAGGTTTTCCTAATCAGATAGAGCTGATCCACATCGGATTTTCCTGGCCACAGAGGCACTCCTGACAGCAGCTCAGCAAAGACACAGCCAATTGCCCAAACATCCACTGGGGGACCGTACTGCGTGTCCCCGACCAGCAGCTCAGGGGAGCGGTACCACCGGGTAGCCACGTAGTCTGTATAATAGTCACTCGGTCCAGCTGGCCAGTGATGGGACATGGAAAACAAGAAGGAAGGCCGGAATCAAAACTGGAGGGGGAGATCTCAGCAGTCAAGCCTGAGCCCAGTCTTGTGGCCCTTCCGTATCGCTGGTTCTCAATTCTAGTTGCACGTTCAAATCACTTGAATATCTTTTTAAAATGACAGATGCTCCAGCCACACTCCAATCCAATTAAAACAGAATCCCTGGGAACGGTCTGCGGGGTACTGGGCACAGTGGCTCACGCTTAGAATCCCTGCACTTTTGGAGGCTTAGGTGGGTGCATTGCTTGGGCCCAGGAATTCGAGACCAGCCTGGGCAACATGGCGAAACCCCCGTCTCTACAAAAGCATACAAAACTGAGCCAGGTGTGGTAACTCACGCCTGCAGTCCCAGCTACTCAGGAGGTGGGAGGATCACCTGAGCTGCAGAGGGCGGGGCTGTGGCGGGCTGTGAGTGTGCCACTGTACTCCGGCCCGCACAGCAGAGTAAGACTCTGGCCTCAAAAAAAATTTTAAAGTTCCCCAGTTGCTTCTAGTCTGCATCCAGGTTTGAAAGACACTCTTCTAAAGTAGCACTTCTGAAAAGTGTTATTTTAGCAAGAAATGGTAGAAACCAGGAAGGTAAGATACTTTTTAAATAACCACTTTACTGTGGTCTAATTTATGCATAGCATACATATGTAAACCACCGTATGTATCTACACGTTTTCAGTAAATACACAATTATAAATGACAGCATGCTTATGCCCTAAATATACAAATACTAGCTTGTATACTTCTAGAGCATTTAGATCCTTTACTGGATCAAGAACTTTTTTTTTTTTTCTGAGTAGATTTTTATTTTTTATTAAAAAAATTTTTTTAAATTGCATTTTAGGTTTTGGGGTACATGTGAAGAACATGCAAGATTGTTGCATAGGTACACACATGGCAGTGTGATTTGCTGCCTTCTTCCCCTTCACCTATATCTGGCATTTCTCCCCATGCTATCTCTCCCCACCTCCCCACTCCCCCATCCCTCCCCCATTTCCCTCCAACAGACCCCAGTGTGTGATGCTCCCCTCCCTGTGTCCATGTGTTCTCATTGTTCAACACCCGCCTATGAGTGAGAACATGCGGTGTTTGATTTTCTGCTCTTGTGTCAGTTTGCTGAGAATGATGGTTTCCAGGTTCATCCATGTCCCTACAAAGGACACGAACTCATCGGTTTTTGATGGCTGCATAATATTCCATGGTGTATATGCACCACATTTTCCCTGTCCAGTCTGTCATCGATGGGCATTTGGATTGGTTCCAGGTCGTTGCTATTGTAAACAGTTTTTTTGTCTTTTATACTTAACAAAAGAAAATCTCAATACTCACTCAAAAGCCGAGCAAATCCGAAGTCGCAAAGCTTAATCACGGAATGTTTTGTGATGAGGATATTTTCTGGCTTCACGTCTCTATGTATGCACTAGTGTAACAAAACAAAAATAGTATTAAAGCTGATCTATATATGGGATAAATGAAACACATGACTATTTAGCAAATATTGGAGAAATCATTTAAACCTTTCCTTGGTCTGTGGGACAACAGCAAAAGAGCAGCCTAAAATAAATCTAGTACCATGCCTGTCAGAGCCTGAATCACCCCGAATTCCTAAAAGGCCCAAAAGAACCAAGAAGAGTGAAAGGAAAATGAAAGTAGGGTAGCCAGTGTTAGCAACAAAAAATATAGGACACCCAGTTAAATTTGATTTTCAGCTAGACAGCAAATAATTTTTTTAGTATAATGCGTCCCACGAAGCACTTCGGGATGTACTTATACTAAAAAGTTATGCTTGTTTATCTGAAATTCAAATTTAACTGGGAGTCTTATATTTAATCTGACAATTCTAGGTGAAAGGGAGAATGTTGAAAGGCTCAGGGTGAGGCCGGAATCACCACTGCAGGAGCTGCAAATTGGTGCATAAGCAGAATTCACCATTCAGTCGTTTAACTGCTAACAGAACACAGTTGGCCTCGTAAACAGGACAAGCCCTGGGCCTGCTGAGATAAGCTGGGAAAAAAAGGGCGTCAACCACAGCTTGCCAAGAGATCTCCCTTCCAGCTCTGACATTCACCCCGACAAGATAAACAAGAGGAGGCAGCAGCCCTCACCTTATGGGGAGAGTCGCTAGATGTCAGCTCTGTCCCACACACAAGTGCTCTGAGAGCTGCAGCCACCCCTCAGGATGTGGCCCCGCTCTATCATTTAGACTCAAATCACCCGTGGTTTCCAGCACACAGCCAACATTCTTTAACAGGGTGATAGAAGAACGTTTGAGAAACTTCACATGATTTTCTAATTAAATGACGATTTTTTGGGCAAAGAATAAATCAACAACCTAATTAACAATTATGTTTTTTTTAAAAGTTGGGTCGGCCGGGCGCGGTGGCTCAAGCCTGTAATCCCAGCACTTTGGGAGGCCGAGGCGGGTGGATCACGAGGTCGAGAGATCGAGACCAACCTGGTCAACATGGTGAAACCCCGTCTCTACTAAAAATACAAAAAATTAGCTGGGCATGGTGGTGCGTGCCTATAATCCCAGCCACTCAGGAGGCTGAGGCAGGAGAATTGCCTGAACCCAGGAGGCGGAGGTTGCAGTGAGCCGAGATCGCGCCATTGCACTCCAGCCTGGGTAACAAGAGCGAAACTCCGTCTCAAAAAAAAAAAAAAAAAAAAAAAGTTGGGTCAAAATACTGCTCAGGATCCCTAGTAATCTTCCTCTTTCCCAAGTGTTTTCCTCTCAGGAGGAGAATGATAGATCATCCTGCAGCCTGAAACCCTGGGGTTATTCTTAAGAATGTGGAGAGGATTTGGGTTCTTCTTGGGCATGACCAGTTCTCAATCCAGACGATCTTCAGGGTGAGGGATCAGTGTCAGTGTTTCCCCATGGGTATTTATTATTCTGGAAAATTTGAGAGTGAAATAAAACAATTTTGGGATTTTATTACAATCTATCTGGTTCTTTGCAATTAACATCCCTGAGATCTCTATTCTTTTACCACTGGCTTCACATATTGCTATAAATGGGTACACCATGAATACCATGATGACATATGGTCAGAAGTACTTGCAAGCAACTATGTGCTCCGATTCTATTCCGGGAATTCTTTACAAGTTTCTGCACCCACCCCCATCAGCACATGGAGCCAAACAGAGTGTCTGAGACTCTCCAGGGAACTGTGGTATGCATTCTATTTGTTTTTATCATCCCAGATCTGCCCTACCAGGATCTCAGTGCAGTCTCTCTTGTTCTCCCATCCTAAAGCCTGCTCTCAAGAGAGTGCTGAGTCACAGTAATTAACAATATGGGTGTCCACTCTCCCCTGTGTATGACAACGATTATAGCCTTTAGCTAGTTGGAAGCTCCGCAGGGAGAAGTGCTGTCTACTCTCATACTTCCTCCTTCCGGGAATACAGCATCAGGAAAAATCATTTGAAACAACATAAAGCAGGAGATTTAGCTCTACCACCTAAATTGACTCTGGCAGTTGGGTAGGATAAAATATTGCAGTGAAATTGCACTCATGGCCAAAACGAAGTTCTAACATTGGACTCTGGTTTCTTTTTTCTTTTTTTTTTTTTTTTTTTTGAGACAGAGTTTCACTCTTGTTACCCAGGCTGGAGTGCAATGGCGCGATCTCGGCTCACCGCAACCTCCGCCTCCTGGGTTCAGGCAATTCTCCTGCCTCAGCCTCCTGAGTAGCTGGGATTACAGGCACGTGCCACCATGCCCAGCTAATTTTTTGTATTTTTAGTAGAGACGGGGTTTCACCATGTTGACCAGGATGGTCTCGATCTCTCAACCTCGTGATCCACCCGCCTCGGCCTCCCAAAGTGCTGGGATTACAAGCTTGAGCCACCGCGCCCGGCTTGGACTCTGGTTTCTATGTGCAGGCAGTGGGCAGTGTTGCACTGGACGGAGCATCAGGCTTCCCGGCATCTGTGAAGCCATGTCACCTGGGCAATAGTCTACTCTGCCTCTGCCAGCCAGCTGTGGCCAGGAGTGTCACAGGCTTTCACTGGATCCAGGCTCAACACTCATAACTCACCAAAGCAGACACTAGTACTTTGAAGTGCGCTTGGGGCTCCACCTCCTGCAATTGACATATTGCTGCTAAGCAGACATGAGTCACCTGGGGTTTCCCCTTAATTTCACAGACTTTTGGGAGTACAAGACCATATAGACTCCAAGTGAATGGGGTTCTGCCTTAAATCTGAGTGGTTTCTAATCAGTATGAATGTATGACTAATTTTTGGGTTTTGTGTGTGTGGGTTTATTTGTTTTTTGAGACAGGGTCTCATTCTGTCATCCAGGCTGGAATTCAGTGCCATGATCTTGACTCACTGCAGCCTCGACCTCCCCAGCCCCAGCGATCTTCCTGCCTCAGCTGCCTGAGTAGCTGGGACCATAGGCACACACCACCGCACTCAGTTAACTTTTTAAATTTTTTGTCGAGACAGGATTTTGCCATGTTGTCCAAGCTGGTCTCGAACTCCTGGGTCCAAGCGATCTGCCTGCCTTGGCCTCCCAAAGGGCTGTGATTACATCCAGGAGCCACCATGCCTGGCACTAGTTTCTTAAAATCATAAAAATGCATGTTTTATACAACCTAAGCAAGAAGGAATATCTAGGTTGGCATTTTTAGCCTCTACTTACCCAACCAGGCTTATGAAGATTTGGGTAAAAATTTTTACCCACAAAAATGTGATATAAACTTTGTACAAGGCTCCACCTCAGCTTAAGGGGAGCCTTCTCACTCTTCAAAAGAGATCATGGGACTTACATTGTGTTTATGGCAAAAATTTACAGCTTGCAGGGTCTGCCAAGTTATGCTCTTCACGAGATGTTCTGGTACCCTAAGAAAAATAAAGAAGCACAAACACATTCTTTAGAGTAGCCATGGAATTCAGCTCAGGAAAAGAAAAAGTAAACCAAGATAGGCTTTAGTAGTGAAAAAACCCTAGGTGACACATAGTCGTCTTACTCATCAGTCATTCCATGAATCCAAAATGTTAAAATGTGTGACCAGCATACTGCTGTATTCTAGGGACAACAGGTTAACAAAGATGCAAACATCTACTTTTTAAATTATTATTATTATTATACTTTGAGTTCTGGGCTACATATGTAGAAGGTGCAGGTTTGTTACATAGGTATACATGTGCCATGGTGGTTTGCTGCACCCACCAAACCGTCATCTACATTAGGTGTTTCTTCTGATGCTGTCCCTCCCCTAGCCCCCAACCCTCTGACAGGCCCCGGTGTGTGATGCTCCCCTCCCTGTGTCCATGTGTTCTCATTGTTCAACTCCCACTTATGAGTGAGAACATGTGGTGTCTGGTTTTCTGTTCCTGTGTTAGTTTGCTGAAAATGATGGTTTCCAGTTTCATCCATGACCATCCATGACCCTGCAAAGGTCATGAACTCATCCTTTTTTATAGCTACATAGTATTCCATGGTGTATATGTGCCACATTTTCTTCATCCAGTCTATCATTGATGGGTGTTTAGATTGGTTCCAAGTCTTTGCTATTGTGAACAGTACTGCAATAAACATATATGTGCATGTGCCTTTATAGCAGAATGACTTATAATCCTTTGGGTATATACCCAGTAATGGGATTGCTGGGTCAAATGGTGTTTTTGGTTCTAGATCCTTGAGGAATCGCTACTCTGTCTTCCACAATGATTTAACTAATTTACACTCCCACCAACAGTGTAAAAGCGTTCCTATTTCTCCACATCCTCTACAACATGTTTCCCAACTTTCTTTTTTTTTCTTTTTTTTTTTTTTTTTGATACGGAGTTTCACTCTTGTTACCCAGGCTGGAGTGCAATGACGCGATCTCAGCTCACCGCAACCTCCACCTCCTGGGTTCAGGCAATTCTCCTGCCTCAGCCTCCTGAGTAGCTGGGACTACAGGCATGCACCACTATGCCCAGCTAATCTTTTGTATTTTTAGTAGAGATGGCGTTTCACCTTGTTGACCAGGATGGTCTCGATCCCTGATCTCTTGACCTCATGATCCACCCGCCTCGACCTCCCAAAGTGCTGGGATTACAGGCTTGAGCCACCGCGCCCGGCCCATGTTTCCCAACTTTCTAATGATCGCCATTCTAACTGGCCTGAGATGGTATCTCCTTGTGGCTTTGATTTGCATTTCTCTAATGACCAGTGATGATGAGCTTTTTTTCATATGCAAACATCTACTTCTATAGGTAAAGGCATGAAAACCTCCAGGGAGTTCAACAAGTATTTGCAACCACTGGGAAACTGCCTGGCAACTCTGAGCTCCATTTCTACAAGGAATTTTTTGTTGATGGAAAGTTAGTTACTATTCAGCACAAAAGATGCCGTTTATTTTTTCAAGTTGCCCCAAACCGATGGCTTTGAAGCAGGACTTATCTTCCATGTGTGGGCGCGCGCGGCATCTCAGAGCAGAAGTGCTGTTGTTTGTTCAGATAATGAAGACTTTACTGATTATAGTGAAGACCTTTACATTGCAAACCATGCAACAAATGTTAGTAATAATGTAAAAACCCGAGGCATCCTGGTTCTTTCCCCGTGCTGCCATGGCAGCCAGGTGTACCCTACTTACATCTTTCTACCCTCTCCTCCATCACACCAGCTCAACTCCAAGCCACGGCTCCCAGTGCTTCCTCCTCGACTCAAATCTTAGGTTACCAGGGCTCCCAGTAGTCCCAGCAGGTACTTTGTGTGAATTAGAAAGAGGCACCTCGCCTGGGAGCATTTTAAACAATAACAACAACAACAACAACAAACCAAGGCAGGGAGTGAAAGAAATGAACCACAGAGAGCGTGCATTTATTTTTGAGACCCCCAACCCACTGGCTGGACTTACTGTTTTGATAAATCAAACATTCAACAATGTTGCTCTGGTCAGCCAAAACTAATACGTAAATCGTGGAGGAAACTCTTGAGTAGGCTGTGTTAAGGGGACCACAAAAAGTCACTTTTAACCTCGGAGAGAGGCTACGAGGCCACTGTTGTCACAGGCCAGACGTTCAGGAAATCCTTTCAAGCAGATCAGAGGGCGTTTGAACAGAGAGTGGGATCACAGGAAGGAAAAGGAAGAGGCCACTTCCGGGAAGGATGGTTGGACATTGCTGGACCGGGGCTGTGTCCCTCGGCTTCAATTTGCTTCTCTCCAAATTCTCTTTTCCTTGTGTGAGTGGAATATAGGCACAGACACGGGAAAAAGTCACTGTCAAGAAAAGAGGCTTAGAAAAATGCAACTAAGCTGATACATTAGGGGAAATGCTTTTCCCCAGCCTCCACTTTTTCTTTTTTTAGAGACAGGGTCTTGCTCTGCTGCCCAGGCTGGAGGCAGTGGTGCTATCATAGCTCACTGAAACTTGGACTCCTGAACTTAAGGGATCCTCCTGCCTCAGCCTTCCCAGTAACCTCTACATTTTGTCCAGAAAAGTGGAATATATTTTTGACTATTCAATAAATTGATTTTTTTTTTTTTGAGACAGAGTCTTGCTCTGTTGCCCAGGCTGGAGTGCAATGGTATGATCTCAGCTCATTGCAAGCTCTGCCTCCCAAGTTCAAGTGATTCTCCTGCCTCAGCCTCCTGACTGGCTGGGATTACAGGCATTTGCCATCATGCCTGGCTAATTTTTGTATTTTTAGCAGAGATGGAGTTTTACCATGTTGGCCAGGCTGGTCTTGAACCCCTGACCTCAAGTGATCCACCCACCTCGGCCTCCCAAAGTGCTGGGATTACAGGCATGAGCCACCGTGCCTGGCCTGTAAATTAAGTATAAATATAGGATTACCTATAGTGATATAATAGCAGACAACTTTAGTTCCTACAAACGTTTCCCCAAATAAATTATATAAAAGGAGCATATAAAAGTAGGCTGAGTGCAGTGGCTCACACCTGTAATACCAACACTTTGGGAGGCTAAGATGGGTAGATCACGAGGTCAGGAGATCAATACCATCCTGGCTAACACAGTGAAACCCCGTGTCTACTAAAAATACAAAAAAATTAGCTGGGCGTAGTGGCAGGTGCCTGTAGTCCCAGCTACTCGGAAAGCTGAGGCAGAAGGATCTCTTGAACCCAGGAGGCAAAGGTTGCAGTGAGCCAACATCATACCACTGCACTCTAGCCTGGGTGACAGAGTGAGACTCTGTCTCAAAAGAAAAAAAAAGTAAATTATAGTCACATATCATTATTGCTTCTTTAATCCCCAGCACATCTCATCTCCAGAATTACAAAATTCTCAAATGTAAAAATTCTGTACAAACTACCTAGTGTCTTCTTGAATTGGCTACTCACTTCACTTCTTTACTCAGTTTCTTTTCTGGAATGCAGAGGCCTCTGACTCTGAGAGTTCTTTTAGCTGAAACACTCAGATAATAAGAGGGGTCAGGTTTTCTCTGTTGGAGAAGAGAGTTACAACTATAAAAAGGGGGAAAAAATAGATAGAATACATTCTGTGGTGTTGGACTGAGAGAGAGAGAGAGTGAAAGAGAGAGGGCATGAGAGCGCTGTGCTGGAAGCCGTGGACCGCGTTATGTAGGGTAGCCCAGAAAGCTGCTCTGGTTAAGGGAACATCTAAAATGGTGGTTAAGGTGGTAAGAAGTGGCCAGATTTGGGCCATATATATATATATATATATATATATATATATATATTTTTTTTTTTTTTTTTTTTTTTTTTTGAGACGGAGTTTCACTCTTGTTACCCAGGCTGGGGTGCAATGGTGTGATTTCGGCTCACCGTAACCTCCGCCTCCTGGGTTCAGGCAATTCTCCTGCTTCAGCCTCCTGAGTAGCTGGGATTACAGGCACATGCCACCATGCCCAGCTAATGTTTTGTATTTTTAGTAGAGATGGGGTTTCACCATGTTGACCAAGGTGGTCTTGATCTCTTGACCTTGTGATCCACCCGCCTCGGCCTCCCAAAGTGCTGGGATTACAGGCTTGAGCCACTGTGCCCAACTGGGCTATATATATATATATATATATATATTTTTTTTTTTTTGAGACGGAGTTTCGCTCTTGTTACCCAGGCTGGAGTGCAATGGCGCGATCTCGGCTCACCGCAACCTCCGCCTCCTGGGTTCAGGCAATTCTCCTGCCTCAGCCTCCTGAGTGGCTGGGATTACAGGCACACGCCACCATGCCCAGCTAATTTTTTGTATTTTTAGTAGAGACGGGGTTTCACCATGTTGACCAGGATGGTCTCGATCTCTTGACCTCGTGATCCACCCGCCTCGGCCTCCCAAAGTGCTGGGATTACAGGCTTGAGCCACCGCGCCCGGCCTGGGCTATATTTTTAAAACAGCTCTTCTAGGATTTTCTGAGAGATTCGATGTGAGGGTAAGACAAGAATCAAGGAATGACATCATGTTTTTAACTAGAATAACTGGTACATGATGGGGCCTTTACCCCAGAGAACACTGGAGGAGAAACTGGCTTGGGGGAAGGGAATACTTACTGGACACCCCAGGGAAGGCTCTGAGTCAGTGATTCTAAATTCAGAAGGACGGTCAGGCTGGAAAGGTAAGTTTGAGAAGCAGAGCATACGGGTGCTCTTCGGGGCCCAGGACTGAATGAAGCCAATTAAGGAGTGAATGGAGCTAAAGAAGAGGAGCTCGGAAGGAAGCTGCGAGACCCTTCACCACAGAGAGGGCAAAAAGGGAAAGGGAGCCTCAAAGGGGCGCGGGAATTGAGAGCATCAAGTGAATAAGTCAACACTCAGGAGAATACTGTGTCACAGAAGCAGCTGAAGGAAGTGCTTCAAAGGACTTCTGCGTTAAGATGATGGATTGAACAAGCCCAGCGAATTTCATTCCCTCCCGAAACCTGACTAGAACTATGC